TAGCAGATGATAGCTAAAAGCTAACAGTTGTAGATGATAGCTAAAAGTAGCAGATGATAGCTAAAAGATAACAGTAGCAGATGATGGTTAAAAGATAACAGTAGCAGATGATAGCTACAAGCGAAAAGTAGCAGATGATAGCTAAAAGATAACAGTAGCAGATGATAGCTACAAGCTAACAGTAGCAGATGATAGCTAAAAGCTAACAGTAGCAGATGATAGCTAAAAGCTTACAGTAGCAGATGATAGCTAAAAGCTAAAAGTAGCAGATGATAGCTAAAAGCTAACAGTAGCAGATGATGGCTAAAAGCTAAAAGTAGCAGATGATAGCTAAAAGCTAACAGCAGCAGATGATAGCTACAAGCTAAAAGTAGCAGATGATAGTTAAAAGATAACAGTAGCAGATGATAGCTACAAGCTAACAGTAGCAGATGATAGCTAAAAGCTAACAGTAGCAGATGATAGCTAAAAGCTAACCGTAGCAGATGATAGCTAAAAGCTAAAAGTAGCGGATGATTACTAAAAGCTAAAAGTAGCAGATGATAGCTAAAAGCTAAAAGTAGTAGATGACAAACATGGAGCTTGTTTGCTCTGTTAGTAAAATATGAAACCATAAAGAATTGGGGTTCTTTAGAGGTTCTGGTTCCGTTGTCTCTCAGGGTTCTGCGTTAACGGACCGACAGGAGATGACCTCTGACCTCGACTCACGATGGAACCAGTGAAACGAGACCTGGAGCTGCTCAGTAACAGCATGGCGACCTACGCTCACATCAGAGGTGAGGAGGGTTCTCTGGTTGAGGCTGGGGGCCACTGGGGGCCTGTGATGAGTCTTCTGGTCCTTGTTTTTCAGCCAATCCGGAGAGTCTGGCTCTTTTCTTCATGACGGGCGTCTGCTTCGGGCTCTTCACGGCGCTCTGCCTCCTGCTGTTCAGCATCGCCTGCAGGACTCACCGCCTCAGACCTCCTCCTTCTCCTGAGAGGCGGCGGCTGAAGGAGTTCAGCGAGGATGATGATGAGGAGAGCGGTTCAGAGGAAGACAACGTGGACCCTGAGGCCCTTAAAGGGACTTTGGGCCCCCGGAGCGAGCGCAGCAGCCACGGCACCCTGAGGAGCGTGGACGTGTTCACCTCGGTGGAGGAGATGGAGAAGGCCAGGCGTCTGGAGGAGAGAGAACGGATCGTCCGGGAGATCTGGAGGAACGGGCAGCCTGATGTTCTGGTCACGGGGACCGGGACCCTCGGACGGGTCCATTACCACTGACCCAACCTTAAACCGACACGTTTTAACCAAACAAAAACCTGGACCGGACCAAGTCTGTTTCAGCTGTTTCTGATGAAAGGAACTCGTGGTGCTGATCCATCAGTCCTGGAGACCAGGAACCCCCGGGCCTGAAGGACTCTGAGGACAGGTGTGGACTTATAAAATACTATCAGATATTTAACAAAATAATGTATCAAACTGATAAGACATGAACAGGACCCTGGACCCAGATGTTGGTCTGGTCCACCAGAGGCTCTGAGTTCTAACAATACCCTAAAAAGACATTGACCCCAGTCTAAGGACAGGATGGGTCCAGGACGGGCCCTCAGAACTGACTGGTTTTATTTTAAAAAGACAGAATTGGAGCAAAAACAGTTTCTAGAACCTTAGAATGAATTACCCTGTTGCTCAATAATCCAGGTAGAACAATCTAAAAAGTTCAGTCTGGTCCTCTTCCTCAGATTAGACTCCGCCCACACTCCTGCCTCAGGTCTGCTGGACATTTGAATTCAAGTCCACGTTTGTTTTTTCCTCCTGGATGTTTTAAACTGGAAGAGTTGAGTTAAATGATGTGGACAGAAATGAAGAAGACCGTCTCCATGGCAACTGGTTCTGAAAGTCCATTTCCTTGATCACCCTCCTGGCACTGGGACTGGATCTTTGGGATGAACCAGTCTTTAATGTATTTTGGGGTTTAAAAGCCACTGGGACGTTATGTTTAGAAAATAAACGTCTCAGTTTCTCTGATACTCCCTCAACATATGGAATGACCACTGGTCTGGGTCTGGGTTCCTCCTGTCCACCTGGTGGCTGACTGGAGTCCTGTTTGGGTTTCTTCTTTCAGGCAGGAGTGTGGGCGGAGTCTAATCTAAGGCAGGAGTGTGGGCGGAGTCTGATCACTACAATTTTAAACATTTTCTCATTCCAGGTTCTAACAGGATGAACAGATTTTCAGAAAATTATAATCCTGAACTAAGACACCAATTAGGATTTCAAATTAAAATCTGTTTCCAAACAAAATAATCATAAACAGAATCCATCCTTCCTTCCTTCTCCACTTCCTGTTCCCAGCTTCCCTCTGCTCCACTTCCTGTTCCCAGCTCCCCTCTG